TGATCTTAACATTTTCCTTTCCACACATGAATAAGTTCATCTGATCTCTTGTTCTATTTATATCCTTATCTGTCTGCTCTACTTGGTAGCACTTCCTTGACAGCTACCACACTGGCGTTGTTAGCTTTTCCCGGCTCTTCTACCAGTGTCCTCATGGTGGTTGCCTCCGTGAATGCAAGATGGCACCATGATGTCACTCATTTGCATAGGGACTGCCATTTTGGAGCGTCAGGTTCAGTAATCTCCATCTAATTTGACGTTTGAACCCACTGATAAGAGAAGTGATAGATGAGACCTGACTGGGAAGAAATACACACCTTTAGCAGCAAATGGAGCTAAAATAGTGAAGCAAATAAAACAAAACAAAACAAAAAAAAAAAAACAGCAACCTAACGGTGGCTACAGGCATTTCTAACTCAGCCTTAATCCAGGGTTTGGTTGTAAAACAATAGCCCAAGCTTTATGCATCTCACTGAGCTCTGTTCAATCCATTATCTGAAACCAGACAGAGTATCACATGGCTGCAAATCTACAAAGACATGGCCGTTAATCTAAACTGACAGGCAAGGCAAGGAACCCATCAATAAGAGAGGGAGCCAAGAAATGACTGTGGAGAAGCTGCAGACATCCGACAGCTGAGCAGGAAGTAGCCGGCGAATGTGGAGACAGAGCTCCTTAACGCGAATATCATCTCTGGATCACAGTAGCTCACCACAATGTTCTCTCCCTTGTTTCTTCCCTTCCTTTTTTTTTTCTCTAGGTGTTGTTTATTTTTGTATCGCCCAACAGGGTTTCCCATTAACCCCAGCAGTGAGCTTAGCATTGCGCTACATCAGCTTTTTCTTGCAAGTAATGTTTTGGAAGTCGTAAATTAGGATTTCATCTGATCAGAGTTGCTTCTTCCACATGTTTGCTGCATGGCTTTTGTGGAACAACTGCTTTCGTCTTGACGCTTTCTCGTGAAGTCCAGATTTGTGTGTGTGTGTGCAATAGTTGTCCATTCGACACGTTTCGCCACCTTCAGTCAGGAGCAGCTTGGCAGATATGGCTGCAGCTCCACATTAAGATGGACGCTGCGTTCCACTTTGCTCACCAACACAAACTGCTGTTGCCCAGCGCACAGCAATACAATCAAATCTGTTTCTCAGAGCAGCGCAGCCGATTTCACATCCCGACAGAAAGTGTGTTAATGCTGCACATCAAACACAGGGTAGTGGCAGCATCATCCTGTGGGGATAATACTGCTTTTCTTAACCAGAAAGAGGAACACTGGTCAGAGTTAATGGAAATGAATGAAAGGCAATTCTAGAACCCCCCCCCCCCAACATCTAGAGCTATGATGCAATAGTTTGGATCAAGTATATTAATATTTTAAGGTGGCCTAGTCAAAGTGCAGACCTAAATTTAATTGAGAATATGTACGTCGATGAAACCAAAAGTCTCTTGGCTACTTCACAGAGAATTGCCAAACATGCAATTTATTTATTTGTCTGCAGCTCTGTCGTTGCTCACTTGTTTTTATAAGATATATTTCATGGTAATTGAGAAGCATTATATTTAAATATTTCCTTATTAGAAATTGAATTTATTTGTGTGAAGAATGAGCACTTTTAAAATCAAACTTTCAGACTGCATAAAATCTAACAGTAGTGGCTTTTAAAGATTCTGTACATTTATCTTGATGTATTTGGTGACAGCTGTTCTCACTAGTGTCGTATGTTTCTTTGTATTGTCTTTGTTTTATAAAATTTTATCTTTGGTCCAAATAAAATAAAATAAAAAAAATGGAAAAGAAACTTTAGTGTATAGCTGTGGAAAGTTAGTAGATTCATCCCCTAGTTAAAGCAAAAAATAAAAAATAAAAAAGGAAAACTTAGTGGAGGTATAAACAGGTGCATGCCACACTATTCAGGTCTTAAACTTAACTGAAACGTAAAAACAAACAATAAAAAGAAAGCACATGGACGCTATATATTATGAACTACTTTCAGTAACTCAATCACATAAAAAAAACAGCAAAAAAAAAAATAATGAGGTCTGTTATTAAGGTGCTCTGGGAGACACATGCGAAGTCACCGGGTTGTGGCGGACGTCCCATCGCATGAAGACCTTCTAAACGGAGCTTAAATAGCTACGTGAGTCCGGCCGTGTGAAGAACAGCAACCTGGTCAAACACCATAATCCCCATAGTGCCGGGAATAAGCACTGGACACTTGTACCCTCGTCCAGAGCAGCTTAAACTGTTGTGGTTTAGTGCTCTACATTCCAGCCCAGCTCAGTCACTAAGACCTTTTACCCCGTCAAAGGTTTTCTTTGTGTCCTTCCAGTCATGGAAGCTAAAGTAGGTGGAGTTGCTCCGTTTCCTCTCCTAGCTGCGACTATCGCCACCAACACGCACAGAAGCAAAATGCACATCACACTGCAGCCCTACGAGTTTTCAGACAGGACATAAAAGATGCTGATGCACATTTTCCTACGCTTGTTGCTAGGGGGAATCCCATCTACGGGGACAACAATGAGGGAATTGTTGCCATGTAAAAGATATCCACGACAAAGTTTCAGGCTCGCTGGGTGCCCAGCTGCTTCTTGCCTTGTTGCCGTCAGCCGTTTACAGCCCGAGTGGACGTCGGGCAGACGGCGAGGACGCTTCGTGACACCAGAAGGTGTTGATACAGAAGAAGAAGAGGAAGCATCTGGAAAGCAGGAGCGCTTCATCACGTTTGATCTAATGTTTCAAACGACAGCGCGGCCCTCTGAGACGGACTGAGGCTCTTACAGAGGGATGTGAGGTGTCACCTTACCACACAGCTTCACTCAAGAGACTAAAACCGACAACAGTCTGAATTTACTATTAGCCGTGGAGCTGTCCCAGAAACTTTGACTTGACACTGAATCCAAGAAATGTATTTACTTTGATGACTAATTTAAAAATAACAGCCTTGTTACTTAAATAACTTAGATCATTGGACTAATTTTAATATCAAAGACAAAGTGAGTAAATAAAAAAACTAAAAAAAAAAAAAAAAGCAGAGTGGTGATTCCATCTATTAAGGGAATAAAGCAAAGCAAATCTACCGTGCACTATGCGAAAAAATAATCATCCCACTTGTTAAATCATAAAATAAGAAATGAACTATGACATTTTTCTTTCACTATCCACTCCGACGCCTGACAGAACCTGTCTGACAACATGAGGTCGGCCAAAAGATCTAAAACGCAAAATGCCATTTAGACACAGATCTACAGAAAATAGAGAATAGATGAGAAAGGGTCACTGACATCTAATCATTCTGGAAAGGATTCGAAACCCATTTCTAAGGCTTTTCAGCTCCAGTGAACCACAGTGAGAGCCATTATCCACAAGTGGAAAAAACGCTGAACTGTTGTGAACCTTCCCAGGAGAGGTCGCCCTGCAAACACTACTCCCAAAGGAGCATCAACCACACGTCCAGGGAGCCACAAAGACTCCAGAACTGCGTCTAAAGAACTACATGCCTCACTTTAGGGCTTAGTATTTATGATCTGACAATAACAGAAAGATGGGGGAAAACATGGCATACATGGGTTTCAAGGCCAAAAGCACAGCTGGACAAAAGCAGCCATCTCCCATTCGCCAGAAACAACATGTAGACGATATTCAAGACTTTTGAGGGGGGAAATATCCTGTGAACTTACAAGAGAAAAACTGAATATTTACATCTGGTCTTAAAACAACAAAGCATTTCAGAACAAATCATACGTACAGTCAAACACGGCGGTGGCAGAGTGATGCTCCGGGACTGCCTTAGGTCCAAGTCTGGACCTAAATCCAACAGAGATATTGTGCTTTGGTCTAAAACGGTTTAATGTGGCTGAAATAAAAATCAATCAATCAAGGCTCACAGGCAGCAATCGAAAGGTTACAACCAGTTAGTGGGTTTTGGGGTAAAGTAGCTTTTTTGGGCAGAATCAGTTTGGTTGGGATTTTTTTCCCCTTTAAAAACACAAACATTTCATTTAAAAAAAAAATGGTTTTTGTGATTACTGAGGTTATATTTGTCTGATACTAAAACCTATTTGATGGTGCAAAACATCCAAGCCCAACAAGAAGGTAAAAACAGAAGAATGTTGTAAGGGGGGGGGGGGAAATCATTTTTCACAACAGTCAAACACCAACAGCAATACTTTAGAAGATTACCAGAACTATTGAGATGTTTTTAAAGAAATAGCTTGTGGTTTTTGCAACCTATGAACAAAATGACAAATGACTCTGTGTTGCAGCAGGGGCTAAGACATCATTAGTGGCACATACCTCTTCTTGTTTGGCTCTATGTGAAGCATGGCATTACTCATCCTCCTCCAGGCACCAGAGAACTGCACGGCACAAATCAAGTTTCTGCCTAGTGATTCACAACGTGACGAGGAGACTTGCATAACATCCAGATCCATATTCTCTATTCCTACAGCAGTGTTTTTTTTTTTGTTTTTTTTTTGTTTTTTTAAGCAAATGAGCCTTCATTATGTGCTGCAGATCAGAGTTGAAGCTTTGAGAGCAGCAGAGATGGATGCTGGATGGGCCACAACACCAACACTGTCCACTGATCCTCATACACAGGGCCTCTGGAATGACAAAGCTGACCCACATTCAACAACAGGAGTGGATGGATGCTCATTTCACCAATATGGACTAACTACAGGATGATAATGCGGATTAAAAACAAGAAATCACTGCAGATGTCTCATAAAAAAAACAAACATAAAAAAAACATAACCCCCCCCCCTCACCCCGCACAAACTATAAATGATAATCCCTACGTGTAGCAGTAAAAATGGCAGGGATTTCATGTTTTAAAAAGGGGGTCAGTGTGTGTTTATATTTTTGCTATATTCGTGACTCAACCAGCTGACACAGAGACCCTGTCAGTCCCCGAAGGAACACAAACCCGCAAATAAATCTCCAGTTTCCACCTAATCTACAGCATCTAAAGCTCCTGAACCCGCTGCAGGAACATCCAGCCTACCTTCGGACAGCTCCAGGTCCAGCTCCGCCAGCTGGTCCCTGACCTCTTTCGGCAGAGCCGACAGATCAACGCCGCGGTCGGTCATCTTCGGAGGCTCCGCAGCCAGCGGGGTGGATCTGATGAGCTCGAAGGGCAGCAGGTGACGATCCGGCGAGAGGCTACAAGAGGGAGCTGGGGGGGCGGGGGGGGATAAACAATCAAGACGTGGTAGCGGTGCTGTTTACTACATCTCCGCGACTCCCCGACACCGCCATGACTGTGGGAGATGGGAACAAGTCGGCAGAGAGGAGTCCGTTAGTCACGTGACCCGGGATGATGGGACCCTGTGGAGGCAGGAAGTGGACTCGGTGCGCCCTCTGCTGTTAGCAGCTGGAAGCGAAACAAGCTTATTCCACCTCACCTGACTCACCCCAGGTGGAAGATGGCAACCTGGCATAGGGGCGATATGGACTCACGGCAAATTTTCATCAACTATTGTAAGGATAAGGGTGATGATAAGAACCGTTTGGGTTTTTTTCCACCTTACCGTGTCGCCTGCATGACCCTACAAATACTCTTGAAAACATACTCATTTATGATGAGTATGACTTTTAACAAACCGCACAGTTAACTCTATAATGATATTTTTTAAAATATATTGATATTTATTGACACTCTCATTAGTACAAATAATAATATGAATAATAAAATACAGTATTGGGGGATTTCAAACATTTTCAATTGGAATGTATTTCAAATTTAACGTTAAATCAAGGTTATTATAATAAATGATAAACATGATAAATTAGTGCCTAATTTTTATTTATCGCTGGAAAATAAAATTTTATTTACACCTGAACACCAAAAGGTTTCATTATTTCACTCATTTAACAAAAGATAACCACTTTTTTTTCCTACCTGAAGAAAATTTAAGATACCTTGTGCATTGATTTCCTAATGTGGGATCACAAAGAGGCATATAGAAATCTAAAATTAAAAGACAGGGAAAATCTTGAATTTTGGATACATATATAGAGTATTTGATGTCTAATTATTTAAAACAATACTAAGAGCTAAGATTCCAGATAGGTAAAAAAAAAAAAACACATTTACCTTTTGTTATACATTAATTTATTTCATCGTTTGTCCAAGACAACTTATTAATTAGCTGAGACTATACACAAGTTATTTCCCATCTTGAGGCCTGAGTATTGAACAAACTTACTCCACACAGATATTTTCAACATGCCCCCTTCCTACCCCATGTAGTAAAACACTAAGAGAAAAATAAAAATAAAAACCTCTAACCAAAAGGGTGCGTACAATCACATGGAGAACACCTTAACGTTCCCACAGAAAACAAGAAGCCTAAAACATGTTATAAAAACAGCAACGAGGAAAAAAATAAAAATAAGATGATAGTCGATAGTCGTGGAAGAACAATGTCATATATTAAAAAGCTGCAAAAGAAAGTCAAAAGAAGCACCGTGCATGTATAATTAATCTGGTTCATAATGTAATAGCACTAGTTTTATGGTATAAAGCTCCCAATCAGAACATTTGTAACTTTAACATGTACACTGATTAACAGTCCATTCACTCAACAATTATCTTCACATTTCCTTTGGTCACCTCGTAACTGTAGCGTTTGACTGAAATAGAGCAAACCCTGTCAGCAGCTGGACTACACACGTCCGCTCAAAGCAAGAACATTGATATTCAATAGAAAAATATATTGCACTACTCTTTACTCAACTGAAATGTCTGGGTAAAGGGTTTAAAACCTGTCACTTGTGATTATCAATTAAAAGTATTCCAATAGCCCAAAGTTTTCAGGGGCCAATGATGGAATCCTAACAGAACCGGGCCAATTTTCACGTTTACAGATTGATGTTACAAAACAGTGAGAGTATAATGGGCTACATACAAACAGTGGTATTATTCAGCCTCGAGTAATCCATGCAGTCAGTAGGGGGTTGATACAATTGACTAATATCATGATATCCATTCTAAATGGGTTACATGTTAATGAAAACAAGGGGCACACAATCACAGGATTAACTGTGTTCACATCTACGATTTGTTTTGTTGTGAACTCAACCAACTTTCATTGAGTGCATTATTATTAAAAGAGTTGACTGGGAAAAAAAGACAAACATTTATAAAATAAAAAAAGTACAAGACAGATGATAAAATAACAAAAGAAGAGAAAGTTTTTCCAGACTGCATTCACAGCACTCTGGAAAGATTTTGCTACAACTGAAAATGAGCATTAAACATGTCAACATTTTTACCTGTGAATATATCTTTAAATGGAGTACCTACATAAAATTCCCACCAGATGTTGGTGACAAAGAAATCAACAAAACCTAATCCATACATTTAGTTATGAAATCAAATGTATTTTGGAAAAAATGAACCAACCTGGACTCTTTGCTTATTATACTCACAGCACAAAACTCCACTAATGAAGAAAATGCATGCTTAAGCTTCATTTCATTTATACTCTTTTAGGTAGATTTGATTTCACTGAGGTGAGTCAGCTTTCTTGCCAAACAGGAAGCTTGACATAAATGGAAAGAACTGAAGATCTATGCAATGTTGAAACTGCCACAACCAATGAAACCCTTTCTACCAAGTAGCATATAGTGTAGTACATTTCTACATTTAGCACTTATTCTTTAAGTTTTTCACTTTATTTCCATTCAACTTAATTTATGGAGTTAAGTTGATTTCTCTGTATGTTTGGATTATTTATGCTAACAACAGGGACTGATGATCATCCGCTTCTTACTAAATGACCACTGGACATAGGCACCAGCCTCCCAGCAACCCTGCAAGAATAACTGGGTAGGAAGAAAATGGATGGATATCACCCACATCCAGTGTAATTTAATGTTGATAACGCCATTAGATATAAATTTATTGAGAAAAACATTGGCATATTCAATAATCTTCTTCCTAGATGTAACTAAAAACATTATATGAACAAATGCAGATGTTCAAAACTCTTTTTTACAAATTAAAAAAACAATCATGATATATTACAGTAAAACTGTTAGCATGGAAAGAAACAAACCTCATCACAGCCAGTGTGGGAAGAAGTTGGACTGTTGCTGCTTTCCAAGCTGAAATAAAATAACTAATTGGTTAAAAAGCCATTTCATATTTTTCTTCTGGATCTAAAACCATTTCTGTCATAACTGACCCCGAACCCTGCAGAGTAAGTGTTCGACACATAATTCATATTTACATACACAGAGTGGTGAAGCGTTTCTGAAAAGGGAGCCTGCTGGAGGAGGGTTTGGCAGAAGTACCGCACCAGGTCTTTGTGTGATTACTGTAGGATGTTCAGGAGGGAAAAGGAGGGGTATCTATGGGAGTTAGGGTGGGTTCCCTCTTCACACCAAGCCTTGCGCCGGTGCGGCCTCTGAATGTCACTCGAGTTCATTCCGGCTGCCGTCTGCCTGCACATCATCTTGGGGTTGGCTGCAACTGCGGAGCGATGACGACCCCTCCAGGCTGGCCCGAGCCCATGCCGGCTAACACCGACATGGCCACCGCTTCTGCAGCCCGGACGCTCAGTCCATTTATGGTGGGCCCCGGGCTCGAGGCCACGGCGGCGGGTGACGGCACGTGCTGAATGACCGCCGCCGGGGAGCCGATGTGTTCGGTGGAAGCCTCCCTCGAGGCTTCCTCTCCTCCTGCAGCTACGGACAGACAGAGCAACATTCACCCTTAGAGAGGTGAGCGAGTAAAAATAACACATTAGATGGATGAGATGGTGGATGAGAGCTGACTAAAAGTTGTGATGAAACAGGAAGACATGTTAGTTAATGATCTCGAATGGTTACCTAAGAAAGCTGCCTTCTTCTGCATGACAGTGACAGGGCAGTCTTTGTGAGCTAGAAGGAGCTGCTTCAGCTGTGCCACCTCATTCCTCAGCAGAGTCACTTCATTCTGATGGCAACACAAAATATTCACCATTCATTCAGTCATCCCCAGACCATCCACAAAACACGTTTAAATGTTCAGCATAGCTTACTGTTAGGGAGATGTTCATGTTGGCGAGATCTTCTGCCTTCTTCTCCAAGGAGTTGACCCACAGCTTTCGTTTTTGTCTGCAGCGAGAAGCGGCCGCCCGGTTTCTTTCCAGAAAACGCTGCCTCCTCTCGTCGGGGTCCATCTCCGACGCACGCCGCCGCCGTCCCCCTGTTGGCTGAGCAGGGGACACCTGGAGAATGAGGAGGGGGGGTAAAAGTGGGCCACTTGCAGACATATACATGATCACTTGTAAATTATCCCTTGGTATGTTGCATTGCAAGATGATTTGTTGGGATTTTGTGTGCAAGACCGACACATAAGTAGCAAATAATTATGACATTGAAGGTTTTAACATATATATATATATATATATATGTGTGTGTGTGTGTGTGTGTGTGTGTATATCAGTGACGTGAGGTGAGGTTCATTGCTGGTGAGGCACTGACTTACGACTATATAGACGCCATGTATGTTATTTGACGTACAGAAATTTCGCGCAGGCACACAACTCTGGGGGGCAAAAAGACTAATCTTTTACATGTCATCCATAGCCGCGTTAACTCAGTGAAACTTAGAAATGTAGGTATTAATTTCATGCTATGATCCACAGCAAAGGGAAAGAGGTATTCGCCACGCTACACGCAGACTCGTTGCCATAGCAACAGACAACATGTTTTAGGATTTAACACAAAAAAAAAACTAGATTAGCTACCGCTTCTACTTTACTGAATTACTTAGA